TTAAATAAAAGTTCCAGTCCTGGGAAATTCCCCTTCAGAGAGTGAATAGTCATGCATGTTAAGAAGTCAAAGCAGAGCTATGACATTTGCCTAGAAGAAGTCAATGTAAAGTCCCTTTCTCACCATTTTGGGAAACTGTTGTGTAATTTCAGGGGAGTAGGTGTTTCCTGGGGAGCCTTTTCTCAGTGACACCACCACAAAGATCTGGAAAAGCTGCTGTTGCTGCAGCTGGATGAGGTCTCTCTCCAGGGTGCGGTAGCCAGGCCGACGTTTCAGTGTAGACTGGATGTAAACTGATCTCCTGGAGCCTGCTGGACAACACACAGTGAACAGATTATGGTAATGCTTGTCCTGGGACATTCAACGTCTAATCCAGCACAGAGGAGCAATATCAAGCATTGTAAATATCGATCTACAGTGTGATTTGTGATGTTTACTCCTGGTGACATCGCATCTAAAACAACAGTCATGGTTAATCTCACAATCTCACAGTTGGCAAGTGTTAGGATAGCAACGCTGTTCTTTCAAGGTCTGCGTTACAGTAACATACCTTATCCACAATTACAGGACTGATTTCCATGAAATGTTATACATTCATGGTCCCCAGAGGATGAACGGTAACAACTTTGGTGATTCTGCCTCTGGGTTTAAGTGTCAATTTCAACACGGGTTTACTGGTGACTACCTGAACATGAGTCAAATAGACAGACCACAGTGCTGTGTCAGTTCTAGAGAAAAGTCTGACTGCCATCTTTATGCCTCTGTCGGCACCAAGCCCAGAAAGCAGTAATGTAGCCCTTTGTGAAATCATTTTGAACAGGTGATCCAACGAGGATGTTATGAACCAATAACAAAAAACGACTTGTTTGGTGTCGTAATGAAGCAGTGTGGGATCATGGAACTTCTTAAATGCTTCGGGGATACTATAAATTCTACTTTTGTCTTTTTTTGCCATGCAGCACTCTGTTTATATTTAAGTGATAATAATTAGTACTGACAGATATGAAAAATATTTGTTTTTGCATGTAAGAAATCGTACTTAAGGGCAACCTGAAAACCAGAAGAGACACATTGAAGACAGCTTAACTCTATGTTGATACCTTTGCTGTTGTCCTCGGGGTCGCTCTCTGTCCCGCTGGTCTCCTCTGTTGACATGAATTAAAGAAGGGAAAGATTAGGGAGATGCAGAGGAATGGAAAAGACTTGAGAAGCCATAATCAGATGCAGACAGCCAGCCTTTGTTTCATAATCAGCCGCTTCGCCTCCTGCAGCCAGCCTTTGTGTATCAGACGCTGGGTATTTCCACCAAGAGGCTCAACTTAATCTCACTGAAGTGTTGATGGTGGTGACATTTGGGCATATGCAGTAGTCCATGTGTGTGTGTGTGTGTGTGTGTGTGTGTGTGTGTGTGTGTGTGTGTGTGTGTGTGTGTGTGTGCGTACCTCTCACTGAGACGCCTTGGTTCTTCACTCTCTTTCTCCCTCTCTTGTCATCAAAGATCGTCTCAATCTTGTTGACGTACTGTTTTGTAAAACACAGATACTCGTCAGCCCCATAATTTCACAGCCATTATAGAATCCTGATTACAGGGAATCAAGATATAACAGACTGTAAGTACATAATTATATTATAGATTGTCATTTTCTTTTACTCCTACATTTCTGCATTCTTCTGTTAATGAGAGAACCTAGCTGAGTATTTGACAGTGGACTCTGGCCCTGCGTTAAAACAGACAGAGGCACATACAGGGTACTCAAATATGTCTTCAACAAGACAGTCAGACCACACGTGTATGAAAGTGCATGGAAAGAAACTGAAATGTCCCTATGAACTGTTGTTATGCAGAAAAATATATCATGAGGGCAATTATTTCAGTTTCATTGTTTTAACATCTTCGTAAAATCTGTGTGTGATCTCAAAGAGCTTGAGGCGGTTGGTTAACTAAACTTGTATTAGGTCAGTCTTTGCTTTTTACTCCAGGTTTTTGTGCAGATTTCAGTGAGGAGTTGAACTTTGAGATGAGAAAGGTGTGTTTTGTGGTTTTCAACTGATCATCAACAAAAACACTGCTGCAGTGTGAAATTGTTCTGTTCAGCCTGTCAATATGTTGGGGATCAATAACAAGTTTTGAACTTGTTTTCAACATTGACAGTGTGTTTAAATTCTACTCACAAATTGTGATTCTGAGTGTAAAGATTCTGAAATACTCATTTCAATCTATGTGTTTTATAACATCAACAGTTCACTTGTGTATATATGAGAACAGTTCAAACCTTTCAGTGTCCGAGAACCAATTGTAAAGTCAAGTTTTTAAAGAACCTGTTGTCAAATGTAGTTACTTATCTCCCATAATGTGTCAGACATGAAAGTACAACTTGTCTCATTTCCTACACTGTCATCCTAATTTTCACTGCATAAATTGTGGAAGATGTAAGCCACCTCTTGCCCACTGTCAGCAAGCACTATACACAGGATCTTACAATATTATAAAGAATACCAACAGTTAACACTATGAGCAAACGCTTGGCAACAGTGGAGAGATAAAACTCCCTTTTAACAGGGAGAATCCTCAACTAGAGCCGAACTCAGTGCCTCGGCTGGTTGGTTGAGAGGAGAGAAAAGGCGGAGAGGGGAAGAGAGGGGGAACACTAGTGGGGAAATAAACAGAACTGTTATGATGCAGCTTCTAACACGAGACAGACGCAGAAATGAAAGAAAACAAATATATCCAGATGAAAAAGCAGTGTCACACACATAGAAGACACAGACCAAGAGGTCAAGAGAGTTTGTGGTGTTAGTAAACGACAGCGGTGTCGATGTGCTGTAAACAAAATCACGTGACCTCCACAGCAGAATAAATACGTTACGTCACGCCTCTGTCTGCTGCACCATCGCTCGCTGTGTTGGACATGTGTAATACGAGAACTCAGGAGAAAGTCCGCACCCAGTTCTGCAGAGAACCTCTGCAGGACATGTCTGAAAATGGCTTAAGTCTGTTTCATTACTGTACCTTATCCTTTAAGTTCATCCCTGTCCACACTCTTTCCACTGCCATGGGTCATAAGTTTGAAGTCACGTCTGAATTTTAATGAAGCAGTCGAACACACAGTCAGACATCTACCCCTATCTCTTTATTTCAGCATCCTCTCCTTCCTGCTCAACATGGCACCACCTCCTTCGTCGTTGCACAACACTTCGTTGGTCTATCATACGACAGGGAGATACAATAGTTTGTGAAAACATTAAAGTATCACTTACGTGAGGTGTCCTCTGGGTTTTTTGAGTGCTTGCGCGCCGCGGTGCAGCAGGTTTGGGAGTTTCTGCAAGTGTTGAGGATTTGGACACTTGGTAGCCCCTCCTCTCCCCTTTGCTGGCGTAACCTTGTAACGTCTGGGGTTTAGGAGGCAGCTGGAAGAAATGAACAGAGGAGTTATCTCTGGTTTGAGATAATTATATAGTGTCAAAGCCCTTCCTTCCTCCTCACTTACAATCTCCGGTTGTGCAGGGATCATCTGATATACAGAAATAATAAAAATGCTCGTGTTCTGTGAGAGGAAGACGTTCTTCCCTTACCTTTGGGACTTGAGGCCTTGCGATAGGTAGACACGTGGGAGATATCTTAATATCCTCATAGGGGTTATCTCTGGTCACTTCACCTGAAGAGTGATTGGAGATTAAACATGCTGGATCAGTGTAATACACAGCGGACACTGTGAAATGATTTCAGCAGAACCTAATGCAAGCTTTCCTCTTATAAAACTGACTGAGGTGTCTGCTGTGGATACAGAAGTGGAGCGCTTTATTCCTTTTTTAGTTTTTACCTTTCTGTTTTTTTGTGGTTATGTGGTTTTGACATTTGATTTAAAACTATTTGCATAATGGCACTATCCAATGTTTATGGATGCAGATATCAGTACAAATGTGATAAATCTATTTCAGAAATCTCAGTCTGTCTGTATGGGACACTTTTTGCCTTCACACTTGGTGTGTGTATTGTTAATGGGAATCGGGAAGTGCAGTGTTGAATTTTGTGCAATTTGGACACTTGATACGTTCATTATTATAAACTTTGAATAAACAGGCCTTTGTGGGGATGGTTGCACAATGACATAGGATTAAAATCATTGCAACATCACATGGAGAATGGACGGCAGTCCATGCAGACTGATTTCACATGTTCAAACGGTGTGTAGTGTGGAACCAGTGTCAATTTTGTTCTTTAATCCATGAAATATAAGTTATAGTTCTACAAAAATAAAGGCCAACTTATTTTAAGTGAGTTGAATACACAGCTAAGAGCCCCGTTTCCATGGTAACTGCAAGTGCTAAACTTCCATGTTTTTTGTTTTGTTACATGCTGCATTTTTCCTGCCATTGAGCTGTTGATTTATTATAGAAAACAAAAAAAATTGTGATAAAGTGCTAAACTTTGAAGTCAGGCTCTGTAACAGCTGTGGCTGAGATTCATGGGACAAGCAACTTTGTCGATCATGACAACAGCATTTCATTCTCCATTCGGGGTTCTGCCTTCGAGCTTTAATGAACTTGGAATAAACAGGTAAATGGTGGGCAAGCACTAATTATTTATTACAAAGTTACAAACTACTTATTTCTAAAAAGAGAAAATATGCAACATATGTCCTGGCATCATATTGGCAAATTTTTTTAAATAATTTCTGCACTCTTGAAAGACACACATCCATAAAGGGAAATCTGTTTATCTATTCCAAATATGTGACAAGGAAATCAGGAAGGAAATCAGATCGTTAAAGGTTAAGATATTATGTTATCCATTAACTATTGCTATTAATTGGTGCAACTGAAGCAATTTGGACATGTGATACGTTCAATATTATAATTTATTTTATAATATTATACATTTAAATAAACAGGGGCTTTTCTGGGCATGGTTGCACAATTACATAGGATTAAAAATATTGCAACATCACTTGGGGAATGGACGACACGTCAGAAGTAAACAACTACAGACCTATCTCCTTCCTTTTCTCTCCAAAGCAATAGTGTGTGCTACCTTTAATCAACTCTCTTCTTATCCTTACCAAAGCAACCTTTTTGATCCTCACCAGTCTGGTTCAAGGCAGGCCGCTCAACTGACACCGCCCTCCTTGCTGTCTCTGAGCAACTTCACACTGCTAGAGCAGCCTCTCTCTCTCCTCTCTCCTCTCTCCTCTGTCCTCATCCTTCTAGAGCTGTCTGCTGCATCTGACACAGTGAACCAGATCCTTATTTCCTCCCTTCAGGATCTGGGTGTCTCAGGCTCTGCACTCTCCCTGCTCTCATCCTACCTCAAAGACCCCACCTATCGGGTGACCCGGAGAGGATCTGTGTCAGAACCTGGTTAGAACCTTGTCCACTCACTACTGGGGTCCCTCAAGATTCAAAGGTTCAACAATTTAATAACCTGATATTTAGTTTCTATGATGCTGACACCAGTCCTGCTATTATGCAGTATTCTAAAGAAATTAAAACCTAAGACTGTTAAAATGACATAAACCTGGAATAATCAGGACAATGATCAAGATCTCTGGAAGTTCATTCACAGCCTGATCTTCTTCAGTGTATAAGCCCCAGGGAGTGCAACTTACAGATAATGTCCTCATAAATACTGTCTTCAGAGTATGCATGGTAAAGGCCGGAACGCCTCGCCTCTCCTCCCAGCGTGCCTTGCTTGGTAGTCAGACGAGCTGCATCCTCATACTCAAAGGACTTCCTGTGGCAGGGGACGGGAAGAGAAGGCAGTGAGAAAGAAGGGCCTGGCTGTTGTCCTTAAGATAGCCAGCATATGAATGTGTACACTGCATGTCTACTGTGCAGCTAGCGTTCCACCACTTAATTCCTTAGTTGATATCAAACACAGCAGAAACACAGAGCATGTGATAAAGTGTCATGACAGGAAATGACTGAGCGTACAGGACAGAAGCTGTTAAATAAAGAAAACCAAAAGACACAGTGTGACAGGATTTAGACAGAGACCGCTGTCAGGAATATGACATATGTCATCTGAGAACCTTTTAAAAGGTTGAAAAGGAAAGATGCCGCTATTGTCTAGTTATTGATTAGTTATTATTATTGTATTATTAGTTGGTAATTAGTTCATATTAACCCTCAACTCTTCTGTAGGGAAAGTTTCAGGTTGTACACAGTTCATATGCCTGATTATTTCATCAAACTAACAAACAAACAAGATAAACTCATCGAAGGTAATAAACTGAGACTGAGGCTCAGATCAACACAGAGAGGGATAAGTGATGACCAGAAAAAAAGTCAATTTCACTCCATTACAACAAAGTAAAACTTTTTTTACAAAAAATATTAATCATCCATGGATCGGCATTTAGCGAATGAAGTGTACAACAAAGCATCCATGAAGAGTAATGCAACGTTACTCAAGGCAAAGATAATTTTTCATACTGTAACTATACTTTTTATAGTACAACTTTGTTTAAATTGTATTTTTCCTCCACTCTAATACATGTATATGTAATGAGCTATACATCATAAATTGCCACATTTTGTTGATTTTTGAAGTAAAAGAAGAGTAAATACACCCTGCAATAAACAGACATTAAAAAATTCATCTTTCTTTAAATGTTAATGCGCCATGTTGCGTTTAATTTCATGAATTTCTATCAAAAATCACATTGTGCAAAATTTTTTTGTAGCCAGACCCTGTAGGGCTCTTTCTATTATTGATTAACAAATCTTCACCCACTTTTCCTTCCAAGATCCTAATTTGATCTACCTATAGATGTTTAATGAGTGCTGCACTTACACTCACTTAATGTTAGTTCATGACAAACACCTTCAATCTGATTAGGGGTGTCAACGATTCTGAAACTGAGACTAAAACTGTGATACAAATGTCCACAATCTCGTATGACAGCACGGGAAGATGGAACGGCGATACACAAATCCAACCTGCTGCCAACACTTCTCGAGGACTTTACTGATGTAACCAAACACATTATTCTTTTCAAAATTCACAATATAACATGTAGTGTCAAAGATGTTATTGTTCCATTTATGGCATGATGTATCTACACATTATACCTATTGCATTTTCTTCCTCCTGCATATTTCAAGGGACTATTTTGGACCAATCATGGCAGAGCGAGTATCATCCCGCCTGCAGTGAAATTTAGGTCTAGTTTAATTAGCGCAGGATGGATAATAACTCTTGACACAGCAGAAGCCCACAAACAGACAGGTCAGCAAATCTGTGCAGAGAAAGACAGACAAGTAAACAAAGTACTTAACACTGCATCTGTGTTAGATCCCGCTGTAGTAGCTGTCACATTCTGCCACGATGACACACACACACAAACACACACACACACCCTTGAAAACAATACCAGCCACGTTGCTAACCAGCAACTGAGTGTATACATGCACAATTGTTCTCCTAAATAAAAATACAAAATATGACTGGGTGGGGTTAAGGATTATGTTGAGTTACTTTGTGTCAGTCAAATCTGACAACACTGACCTCAGAGCAGTGGAACAGGACTACAAGAAACAGACGTGTTCCACTGCTCTGATAAAAGCATTAAAACATTCATCTGTGACATTTTAGAGCAAATTAAGCAAAACCAGAGGAGTATCAAACACTCTGGTTCACAGACTGACTCATGATGGTCACATAAAGGTTCTTGTTTCACAAGTTGCACGGACTTGATTTAAAATCTAGCTGTATTCTGGTTATTTATTTATATTTATAAACAGTTTCCCCTGAGGTTGGACCTTGGGAAAACAAAATTTAAAATATGTAGCTAAGTGGCTTAATGTGATTTTATTTTATATTTTATCATAAACTGTGCAAATCTTTGCTGATTAGTTTGTTCTGTAACAAAATCCTCGAAAACAACATCATTTCTGAACTGACTGTGTTGTCTGTGTGTGTGTGTGTGTGTGTGTGTGTGTGTGTGTGTGTGTGGGGATGATGACCCTGGACCAGTGGCTGGTGAGGAACTAGGCCACATCTAGACAATAGAGAACAATGCTGCCAGATATCATGTGACATCACACATGGACCCCAGCCAGAAATTACAGTCTGACTGTCCCCTCCTCAAATCTGCCCTAAAAACAATCTGTCGTCGAAAGTAGGAGAACAAATGCAATGTGAATTTTTACAGGTCAATTCTCTAATATTCATTCAGCAGGAGCAGTTTTCTTTAAAAAAATAATACTAAAAAGTAAAAAAAAGTAAGAAAGTGTATTCTTTTAACCCAAACTATGTTATGAGACTCACCTGTTCTTGTTGTGCCTTGAAAGCCCATTGGTCTTTGCAACAGGACATGGAGGAGGAGGGAAGTTGGGTGGGTGGGCTACCCTCCTGCTCCCCTTGTTGGAGTGGTTGTTATGTGGGGATCTTCTGTCCCATTGCACCGTGTGCCCTGAGATGTTGTTGTTGGCTGCCCGATACTGAAATGTCCGCTGAGGTTTAGGAGGAGGCTGAGATTCACCTGAAGACTGCCTGCCTTTCTCCCAGAGCAGCCTGTTTCCCTCCAGCTTACGCCAGAAACCACGTGAGGTGTAGAAGTTCCCCGCAGGCATGTTGTCTTCTTGGTCATCAGTTGACAGAGGTTGAGAAACTACCTCCAAGATGCAATCGATTGTTTGGTCACTATTGGTAGGGCCTTTATGTTTTCCAGTACAGTTAGCATTGTTAGCCTCCCCTTTTTGAGATGCAAATGTTTGTGCTACAAGTGGTTTATTTCCTGGGGGCTTGGTTAAAAGTACAGTGGAGCATTTCTGCAGAGGTTCTGACTTCCTACCAACCACACGATGTCCAGCTTGTGCTGGGGATTCCCGAAAATCTAAGCCCAAAGTCTTAGCTTTTGAGAGGTTGGCTTTCGCATGAAGACCCCCTCCTGAGACCTCATTGGTATGTCCATTTCGCAGGAGGTCCCCAGACAGAGTTCGGGATAAAGTCGGAGGGTGTGCTTTGACTCCGACATCCTGGCTGCTGCCTGGTTGACTGCGACCTTCCCACTGGGTGATTTTCTCCCTGATGTTCATTTTCTGCTCGTGAGGAGGGGGCCTCCCCGGCTGCCGACCCTGCCATGCCACAGTGGCCCCTTTCTGCAGGAGATCGACCTCACCACCCCCTTGCCTGCCCTGCTCCAGCCTCAGAGCCAGCATGTTGAGAGGTGGGGGGGGGCAAATGTCAGCTTACCCTCAGTTCTCCATTAGGTTATGAATCAAGTATTTCCTCGCCAATGCGGGCAGTAAAATCCACAGTATAGAAATGATCAGCAAAAACAGGAACGTCACAAGATTTATGGCTGAAACTGTCTTTACGTGTCCTCTTGTGCTAGCAGAGTGTCATTATTCCCTTGTCTCCATTTGTAAGCAACCTGAAAAGAAGTCAACCGACAAAAATTATCCATCAATCACTCTGCACTTAAAAAACAAGTCCGGACAACACACAGCAGGATGAAAGGGATACTGAGGTAACACAGGAGGACACAGTTACTTTACCTGTCTTAAACTGTCTACAAGGTGTAGGCATGGACAGTTAGAGGATCAGGAAGGACGGGCTCTTGTAAAGGTTGGTCGCCAAAAATAAATTCAGTGAGAAAAAAGGAAACACAATAGCAGGATCCAGATTTCTGCTGCTCTGTGTCTGTCTTGAGCCACACCAAACCCTCCTCTGCCCCCAGGGGAATTCTGCTTTCTCTGTAACTGCTGTCCTAAACCACAGAGCTGGCCAAATGTAAAATTCCAACAATACAGCAAAGCATTAAATCTAATTCAGTGTTCTTGCAAAGCTGCCTTTCAAATAACTGGGAAGAAAGAACACTTAAAGTGATCTGAAAGAGCTTTAGAAGCAACAAAAACACATGAATGTCCAGGCATACGTAAAAGCCAATCACTGTCTACTTACTAATGCCACAAATGTCTAAATATCTGTCTCATTTTATTATTGCAGAAACACCAGGTAGGATTAACACAAAGTTTTCTAACTTCACTCTGCACCATAGACACACAAAAAGTGACAGCATATTGTAGAACTGTTTGATGAGGACTCACTGATGTCAGGGAATAATTCTGAAGTAGCTCAGAATTAATATAGGACAAGTAAACAGCCCATTCCAAACAGGCAGGTTTGAAACGACACTGCACAAGTTAGTAGAATTAGGGAAAACATTTTAAACAGGCACGAAAAGCAGTGGAATAAAAGCTCCTCAAATGGATGAGCAGTTTATCAGAAACATGGTAAATTAACTGGAGCTGTACATTTGGTATAAAGCTATAATGCTCCATCCAATTCATGCTATCAAGTACAGATAGACATGATTTAAAGTTGTGCACCGGATTCCACAGCACCATGACTCTCAGTCCCTGAGTCAACATCGAGTCAGAGACTGTACACTGTTGTAAAGCAGCTCCCGGCTCGCTGGAACCAAACCATTTGGACACGTTGCACATTAGGACCGAGGCTGAGAATCTGGAGAAGGGGAGACATGGTAAAATTCCACTGCACAGCTCATGATCATAATAACTCTATGCGCTGCATTCCTACAGAGCTGTATGAGAAGGGGGGGGGGGGMCGGGGAATAAATTGAACTATAGAGACACTCAGTCCGTCTGTCTTGCAAGTGACGCCTTTGTTTGCTTTGACCTAAATCAAATGTATGTGTGCACTGGAATGCTACTCGATCATTGCCAGACCATGCAATGACAATGCGACTCCCGAACTGACCCACTTGCGTTACTACTCATCTGTGTGCGGTATGTTGTGCAGGAAGAACAGAGTAGCGTTTCCTGAGCTGCAGGAAGAAGGATCAGCGGACTGTCCGTAATTATTGTGCGGAGAGATTTGCACCGAGTTGCCACAACTGATGTGAGCTAACTTAAGAGCATCTGCACTCAAACCCTGCATGATGGTAATCGGATATTCTCTTTGAATTAGAAAAAAGTTGACGAGTACCAGTAACATTTGCAAACACTTAAAACTGTCAGGACCCTCTTTCCTGTTGCATGCATGTTTTTTATTGGCAAACTTTGAGGTGTTGTGATATCGAATGACAAAGCTGGAGGGTGAGTCAAAATGAACTGCACTGATGTTTATATCACTGTCAACTGCAGGGAATGGTATCCTTGTAATTTTGTTAAAGTGAAACTCCATGACTCATCCACGTAGAAACCAGACAGGGATCCCATGAAGCTAAAGCTCCCCATCATCACTTGGCAGCTAAATTAAACCTAATTGCACCTTCAAAACCGCCACAACACACGCTCCTGAAGCAAGCGGCGTGACACAACATGTTGTAGGCGAGGTGTTGTACTACTGTGGTTGCCATCAGCAGAGAATGGTGAAGGTATGTAATGACAGAAACATGTAGGTTTGCTAAATACCAGCATAAAAAGAACACAGCAAGATAAAGATGAATATAAAGCCTCACAATGACTGTTCAATTACAAGCCACCAGAACGGCTCCCATGCATCCAGGCATTCATTTTAACAGCTCTGTTGGATGAATGGAAAACCACTTTATGTGACAGGCTCTATCATTTTGTGTCATTTCAATGATGGCTGGGCCAAAACATCATGCTAAAATAAAAAACACAAATAAATATTAAGTAAATTTAAATTAAATAAAACAATTCCATGTATCACTAATCCCTGATTACTTTATTTTCCTTTTTTAATTTATTTTTGTTTTAATTTTTTTTTTTTTATTGTCATTCTTTGAATTTGTTGACTGATTTTATTGTTAATCCCTTTGGTGTATGTGCACAGAAACAATGCACTCCCCCACATGTTTACCCTGTATATCTGGGCATGTGACCTTGTCCTTGAGAATATGTCAAAGGGTTTACATTTATTGTGTCAAAACAAATGCATGACAGTGAATGAACATTGTTCCTGAGCAGATCGGTGGATTAACAGGTCCCAGGTGTTCTCAGCTGCAGCAGCTGGGGTTCTTCTGTCTGTTCTGTCTTCAGTTATTCATTAACTGAGCTGTTTTCCCTAAACTTGGCAACACCTGCAGGTCATTTGAAAGTAGCAGCCATCCACATCTCATAGGAGAATGATCATAACTCAACGTGTGTCTTGCATTAGCTGCGTGTTTCCTGGAGTGTGGAGGTTGTCGCTGCAGTAAAGTGGGGTTAGATGCAAAAGAGGAGTGGGGGGGGGGGGGACACACCACACGTCTATACCTCCATGTGCCCCCTCTCTCTCTGTTGTATAAAGCATATGCCAAACCTCCCTTAAAAACTGTACAATTTTAAATGTTCTTCTTTAGTGCTAAAACTACACAACATACAGATAAACCCCAGCATCTCATTTGACTTATTAAGATCTTCTCTATAATTCGGCTTTAACAATAGGCCTGAATATAAATCAGCTAACTGGTTTACACGGCTCTCCTTCAGCCAGCACAGTGAGTCTGTGACAACAGTAAGCTCCAGGAATAAGGGCTTTGGATACCTCGAAAAGTTTATATTGGTCCAAAAAGCGACATTTAGCCTATTAGATGTATGCCGAATGACACAACAGCGATTCATTATATGGAAATAGGCTTTATTTTATGGATCAACAACAGAATAGTGGTCGATAGCGGAGGGCGTTTTAATTTGCCGTTTTTTCTCAATGGACTTCGGCGCTGATTTCACTTAAAGAATGAACTGCTTAGGAAAAGTAGATGAGAGAGCAACTAGATTGCAGAGTGAATAATAGTGAGCATCTCTCAACTGTTTGACCGGCGACAGGAGAAAACAGTGTCAGACAAGTGTGAGTTAAAGTCAGCAGAGCACCACCTGGGTCTCCGTGTCATAACTTACCGCTCGTGGTTAAAAATAATAAGAGAAAAAAAGTCCCTCTTGTTCCTCGTTGTCCTCTCGATTAAATGAAAAACGGATGAAATGCGGCTCCTCGCATCCTGTGAACAACGTGAGCGGAGAGTTCAGGCGGACGTCGATTCAGTCATTTACACTTCACTGATCGGAACACAAAGTTTACACAGATCCCACAACTGTGCATGAAGCGTGTTCTGATCATCGCACCACAACAACAACAAAGACAGTGGCCATGACCGAAGTGAGGCTGAACACTCCTAGTTCTGCTGCTCTGCACGATCACCAGCGACTCACCCGAAGACACAGGCCTCTTCCGGCAAGAACCTCCAAAATAAAAACCCCAGCTGATGAGACAGAGTTCTCTGAGCTTCCAGAGCAGTGGTGGATCTGGAGTTTGCTTTGTCAGGGGCCATAAAGGGGCCCCAGTTTACACAGAGGGGCAGATTATATGTCCAACCTCCACTGACAATTCCTGATTCAGTAAAGTGCACATTTAAGTCCTTTCTTGTTAGTTACTATAGTTTTAAGTCAAGAAACACATCATTGACAATCATTGTGTTCCTCAAAAAACAAAGTAAATTAAAATTCTCAACTAGTTGTCATGTCTATTGTTAGTATTGTCAGCAAGTGCTTAGTTTAAGAAAATAAAACAATACTACAGGCACGACAGGGGAACTTCAAGAGCAAATTCCATTTCAACCGCGGGGCAGTGCCCCCCTGTGGATCTGCTCCTGAATCCCTTTATAAACATATGGAAACAAAATAAAGCAGATGAGGGAAAATGTTTTCTAATCTGTTGCTTGGAAGGCATAACAATAATAATAGTATTTTTACTCATATAATACATCTGAAAGCAAAGTTATAAAGTGTTTCAAAAAACAACAACATACAAATAAAAATACATTGAAGACAAAGCCATTAAAGAACTAAAGTAAACGTGTGACAAGAACTGAAGCATGGCCACCAATTACAATGATACAATTAGGTGTAATCAGGGGATGTGGTACAGTAGAAGTTTTTTAGCTTTGATTCAAAGGAAGTTACCTACTCAACCTGTTGAATTCACTCAGGAATGGTTTTCATAGCTCTGATTTGAAAATCTCTGTTCCCTGTTTGGGCTGCGAATGCACAAATTGTGAGGTAACTTTAGTATTGTGTTTTTTGATAGTTTGATTATTTATCTATTTAACATGAGATTGTATGTTGTATTTGATTTTCAGGGACGTGTAGATAAATACTGTTAATAACTAACAGCACTTTACTGCACAATAATAGGACTTCCGGTTTATCTGTTAGTGTTTCTGTGGCGCTTGACGCAGCTGCGACTGTGAGAAAAAGTCTGCTGAATCCTCCCGAGAGAGAGAGAGAGAGAGAGAGAGAGAGAGAGAGAGAGAGAGAGAAGAGGGGGAGACGTCATCATTTACACTCCTGCAGCTGTCAACCATGGACAAACACTGATGTCTTCAGGTGTCCAGGGAAATACACACACTGTGCTGGGACTGTAATTTCATTAATAAAGTCCTGAGATGAGATGTTTCTGTGCAGGGAGGTGACTGACAGCGATGACACTGTTAAAATGACCTTTGCAAAACCACGTAAGTGAAATGTGTAATTTAGGGGGAGAGCTAAATTACTGGTTATTTCCTACATTTCACAACTTCTCTACATTGACAAAAGAAAATTGAATTCTTATTTTGCTTCTGAGAAATGTTCATTAAGACTTTGCATTATGATCCTTGGAACAGATTCCTTAAAACTCAACCAAGCTTTATATTTGACAAGTAACTGAGTCATTACTGTTTATCACTGAAATTGATGGATAAGAGGAATGCTGTGAAAATTTAACTTTATATAAGATATTGCTGAGAACATCTAGTATCAAGTGTTAAAGTGTATTTTTCTGTTTTCTTACACATTGTTTTACTTACATTATACTTTTTAAACATCATAAAAAGTATTTTGTTCTATGCCTTATATATTTTGTTTTAGTTGTTTCAGACAAACCAGTGGGCCACAAAAGTATAACTATAGCCTCATACTTTCATACTCCATAGGCATGATCAGACTCCATGAAACAAAATGTGACCTCAACTCAGATAAGGTAAATGTTGACTTTGTCCTGTTACGATCAGGTGCAATAAAGTGAGGGGTGTGCTGTTAAAGGACGTGGCAGACAGATGCAGCCTCTGTTAATCACTGATGGTCGATACGATGCATTATGCAGCAAATCAGGCCAATAATGTTGGATGCACATTTATATTCTCTCCTCACTCTGCTGATGCAGTGTTTATGTTCACAGTGTAGGATAAGTTAAGAGAGAGCGATTTACAACTACAGGTTTTTGAGGGACATCTAAATGCAGAGGTGGTAACACTAGTAAACAGGTCAAATGAATGGAGCTGCCACGCGTAGAAATGTGTGTTTTTCACATTTTATTTCCTTTCTTTCTAATACATGATGTTTCCCCTCACACAATAGTCATACTGTGATGTACAAGACACCTAGACAAACATGTAGATGACCCTAACCCACAGTGAAGACCAGTTTCTTCTTCCAAAGGAAAGAACATCAATGAGTTAGAAGGTCACTTTCTTAGCTGGATTAAGTGTTGCTGTGGAAAAACTAATTTAGAAACATTTCTACATCTGTCAGATGTGATTTTGTTTATTCAGTCTTCAGGCCTTCCTTGATGAGGTTGAGCTCATAGCACAGGGTCTCATAGCGGTACGCCATACGGATCTGGGCCACGTTGGTCTTGCGGATGTCGTTGCCCTCCGGACCCTCCTTCAGGTAGTCCTGACCCAGGTAATGGATCTTCTCCTGCGGAAGAAAACCACCAGCGAGTTTTAGTATGAGAATAAATCATCTGTAAGTCCTTCAGTGCATAAATGTCACTTCAGTTATGGTTTTTCACCAAAGATTACTGATTATCACAAGACCTGGTGGGGGGGGGGATGTAGTATGGGTCAGAGAAGAACCCTTTAAATTTTGGTGTAGAACCAGATCAGGGAGCGGATCCAGGAATTTTTTGCGAGATATGGCTTTTTGTTTTTTTGTTTTTCTTTTCGCTGATTTCCCAGTGAATATTTCATGGATCTTAATGAAAAAAATCCGGCTCATTTAGGAAACTGATGCAGCAATGCATTTTAAGGTCTCCATCAGACGCGTTACCTCATGAGACAAGCTGCTCTGCAGCACGCTGCTCCTGGAGATCTCACACATGTCGCAGGTGCTGAGCTTGAAGACCTGGGCAGCGATGGCGTACTCCTCCATGAGGGGCTCCTGTGGGCATAAAGGCGAATCATCAACATCATTAAATACACATGTAAATCTGTATACTCATGTCCATTCAATGCCTTTACTGTTGTATTTGTGTTGGAATGCGCAATATATGACTTTGCCTATGAAATATATAGGCCACACAAACACTTATCTATACATGTACATAACACAATGGCCATTATACACGGCACAGTTTGCACCATTGTCTACATTAGCATCAAAGGCCTCCTCTCCGTGTGCTCAGACCTTGGTGTAATGGAACTGCATGGGGTCGTCGGTGGACAGAGACACGACCAGGCCTTTCTTGTGGAACTCCAGCAGTGGGTTCTTGGCGTACTCCAGGAACAGGCTGTTGTTGCTCAGAGGGGACATGGCGATTGGGATCTGGGTCAGGAAGTACAGGTACTGCAGCACAGGGCTCTGGTGGAGGAGAAGAGGGATAGATGCATATGATCATTTTACACTGGTACAGTTTACGTCAGCTCATAATAGTATTTATCAAAGCCTGACATTTTGACTTTGGTCTTTAAGATATGATGTGAAAGAAGGTTACAAAAGTTATGTAAAGAGCAATAACTTAAATATAAACTGCAGGATTACTCAAAGGACGAATGTTAAATCTCAGACGGTCCAAACATCCGCAACCACTTTGTCTCATAAAGCGAGGACCGACCTTCTTGAGGTTGAGGCCGTGAGAGATGTTGTCAGCGGTCATGAAGGAAGCCAGCAGATGGGTGATGGCTCCAGCCTCGCCGCAGTGAGGCCTGAACATGAATGTGTTCAACCCCCTCTGTCTGGAGAGCAGGAGATAAACAAGTGTTATCTACAGAAAGGAGACATATTCTTACAGGAACCATTGTCCTGTAATCATTAAATCTGCATTCATAGTGATTATTTAGAAGAGGAGATGAAGTATAAAGAAATGAGGGGATATGGAGATAAAACAAAAGGAAACTCAGAAAAAGGAAGGAAACAAACAATAATCATATTCCTGTGTGAATGGAAGCAGAAGAAGTTACTCACTTGCGGAGCTGGTTGAGCACAGTGATGTTTGCATACATGTAGTAAATGTAGTAGGTGTAGGAGGGGTTCTTGACGATGTCCCACTCCTCTGGTTTGGGGCTCTTGGTGCAGAACATGTGGCCGCTGTGCTTGGACTCATCGTCCACACTGTCGAAACCTGTCACCTACACATCAACCAGGAAGACGGTTAATCCCGCAGACCCTCAGGAAAAATCAATGTTGAGGAATAATGCTGATAATGTCTATTAATTTTGCTATGAATGTATTTGAATTTTAATGGTTAATCTATCTTTGGCCTTTGTTTGAGACTCACATGCTTGAGGAAGATGCTGAGCTCGGGGTTGGACTGCGGGTCGATGGTGGCCTGGAACACAGGGAGGAAAATGTTCTCCAACATCTTGCCAAAATGGGGCACGAAGTTCCTGCCTCTGAAGATGTCACTGAGATAGGAGAGGGAGAAAACAAAAACTTAAGACTTTTGAGGCCTCACTGTAAAGCTTGTGATTATAAATAGATATTTGGCAGGGAAGGATATTATAAAGTGTAACAGTTATCCGTCTGTCTCATAGCTGTGTCCGACTCCTTGGAGGTACCAGCAAAAATGGAAAACTTACTAGATCCTGGGCACTTGAATCATCCACTTGAGGTTGGGGGAGAAGACTCTGTGCCTGACAAACCAGCCGGAGAGCTTGCTCCACTCATCGGGCTTGCAGCCATAGATGGAGAGACGAGGCTCAGCAAACTGGTACTTGGCATCCTCCAGGTCACTGGCTACTTCCTGGTTTACAGAAAAAGACGTGAATCAGACTCAGACCACATGAAGTTAGATCATTTTTATCATCTAGTTCACACATCAGCAGCAGGTTAGCAAATGTAAAAAAAAGGTTTTGTGTGTGAAACTTGCTTAATTGTATATTACTGCTTATGTGTCAACTGGATGTCAGCAGTGTAGTGCTACTCAGGTTTTGAACTGATTTAACTGTGAAATAATCTTTTTTTATCTTTTCAATATCAATATCACACATGTGCATTACTGTTCTGCCCTTTATATTTTTATTTGATAATAAAGGAATATCTCATCTGGTCTTATCTTAGATCTTCAGCTAGAGGAATCATTACCATTTAATTATGTTAGCAAAGCTTTCTAGCTAAAATATCCTACTACATAGAAACTCACCTTGATGATGGTGGCAAAGTACTCTCCATTGATGTGGTTCTCCGTCTTCATGTACAGGTCACGCAGCTCGCTGGCTCCCACAGGGTTGTACTTGGCGTTGAACTTATCGAAACGCTGGAAGGTTTGTCTCCCCTTTAGAGAAACACGATAACATTAAAATACAAACCACAAAAAACAGTGAGGTAGCTCTCTGAAGTTATGCACAAAAGCTATGGAACAAACTCCCATTAGAAAAGCAACATCTGTTCAATAAAGTATA